TAAAAAAAAATGATTTGCTGCACTTTCAAACTTTAACTTCTTGCACAGGATATTTGGCTCCACTCTTGGCAAACTTATCAGCCTCCATATTTCCAACGTTTCCCTTGTGTCCAGGAACATATACCTAGAAAATAAAATAATCATGACTTCTTATCAGTAGCAAGTTGAATGTCAGATAAAATAAGAAGAATTCTCACTTGAGTAGAAAAACAGTTCTGAAGTAAACGTTCTAACTGAAGTATAAAAACAGAATTACAACCTCATCACCCCAATAAAAATTCCCATCTTCAAAATATTTGCAAAGTATTCAAAAAAGATAAAACTTTTAAAATGCACTCACATATCTGACAGGGATGGTAGAAACAGAGTCCAACAGCTCCAGCTCCTCTCTGTTTTTCACATTTTCCCCAGTGGTTGTCTTCCAACCATTCAACTTCCACTTTTGTATCCATTTCTCCACGCAATTAATGGTGAAATGAGAATCAATCTTTACTTCCAGTTTGTCACAACCTGGGCAATGAGAAGTCAATCACCACCAATTAAAATCCCATCATTGCGCCTTCGGAGGGAGAAAAACCTGTTTTTATCTATGATACAGATGGATCCTTTCAACAACAAATTTCTCAATACAATAAAACTGTTCCAGGTTCTGAAAAGCATAGAATTCTCAAGCTGAATATTCAGAACCTTCACAAGTATTCTTGGTTACTCTTGTCTCAGTTTAGAGTCTTTAGACCAAACCCATCCACATAATGTGAGTACTATAANTCCACATAATGTGAGTACTATAACAGGTGGACTCTCTCTGCAACAAAATTCAAGGAAACAGAAAAGAATTGTTATGCAGAGAAAATCATTGTAGAGAGAGTTCACCTGTGTTATTTTCTGTTGTTCTGAATGTAAATGGGCTTATTCAACTTCTGTTTTGGACGCATATTGGGTAATGAAATGAAAAACTTGTGCTTCAAAGAATCAGAACCTTGGGGCTCCTCAAGGAAAACAGCAATAATCTCACCTGATGCTTTCACAATTTCCACAGCATGGACCACAGCCATAATTTCAGCCCTATTACTTGTCTGTCGCCCTTTTGTAAGTGGTATTGACACATTCCTAAAACAAAACAAAAATACGGTTTAAGACATACTGTATTTCAAACGAAGTCACAAAAAGGGAAACTAACAAGGGATGAAGAGGACCAAACCACACCCCTATGCCTCCAGAAGCTCCCAGTTTGCCGTTCAAGGAACAAGCCCCATCTGTGTGGCATTCCACAAATCCATCAGCATTCACTACA